TGAGGCTTGTCACTCTCTATCACAGTGGGGAAAAGCATAGCATCTCTCCTGTAAAACCTACTGCAATGGCTTATACTCCACAAGACCAAGGTGGAAAGCTTTTGATCAGTAACCAGATTGTAAAAACCTATCCCCTTGGCTACAGGGGATAGGGCTGCAGGGCAAGGGAGATATAATTCCTCTGATGGCCCTGCCTCCAGGCATTGTTCTGTGTAACTGAATCAGAAAGCAGGAGGAGGGTCAGAAATAGGAAAGTACAATATAGCAAAGAAAACAATGCAGTGTAAGTCTTGGAAAGTTACTCATTTAACTAAATTATTTTAGAGGGCTTTCAGGTTTGAACAGTGTAGGATAGCTTTCTACTTGCTGGGCAGGTGGCCTTGTCTTCAAAACAGTTCTAAAATAAGAGAAATTTTAGAGATGTTTAATATACATTTGGAAGGCATTTAATATTGGTAAGATTACTTATTTTTTTTAATCAACATAGATCTTCAAAATTATTATGTTGTCCTTCCCAGGTCTCCTAGCTGTTTTTTTGGAGGACTCATGGCAATTTGGGATACGATTTTAGAGTGAAAGTTAAAACTCTTGAAAACAAAAAATCAAAATGGGGAAAATCTGATGTACAGGCAATTGCTGCTCTGTTTTAGACAACACAGTAACTGAGCTGCAGAAAAGAGAGAGCAGATAATTTTGGACAAAGAGATCTTTACTGTGGAACAAACCCACATTTACATAACAAAAGTGAGTCTAGGTTTGCTGATTGTGTTGCTTTATAAAACTATTGTTTTGGGATGATGCGAATGGGATGGGACCACCCTTCATAACCTGATTGCAGGATTTTATGGTTGCTGTCAATCCAAAGGTATTTTTTTTATGTGTCCTTAAAGCATTTTGCATGTGTAAATTGGTGCATTATAAATATACTGTGGCTGACTGTTAATTCGTGAGACCTAAAAATAAAAGCAAGATTAACAATCTTTGTCGACTACAGGTGAACCTGTATGTTCCCACTGTCTGCTATTGCTCACATATTTAGTCTGTAAGCTGAGAAGTGCAAACCCTGAAACACTGAAATAGTTTTTTAAAATTAATCTAAAAATATTCAGATTTTCGTCTTGCTTAGATGCAAGGACTAATGTGCTGCACTCACAGTACTGGCTCTTGGAAATTATGTTCAGTGCACATGGGTCTGTCATTCTGTCTGCTCGTCCATCGCAGTGGGTTCTTTTTTCTTTCAAGCATTTAATAAGAACAGGATGGAAACGGCTCTGCAGTAGTGTTCTCAGAGATCACCACGACCACCTATGTGGGGTTATGAGCGAGTTAATATGGGACGCTTGTTCTGTAATGGTCACAGTGTATGCTGGGAGTTGAAGGTCTGATGGAAGCCTGCAAAAAGATGACCAATTAGAAGTGTCCCGGGAAGAAGCTTTAAAGTGATTGGACAGGACTGCGCTGCCCCCCCCCCCCCCCCCCCCCACGTTTTGTAACCAAGCCTTTTTCAAATATAGGAACTTGGTCAGTCATTAATAAAGGATTCTCCATTTTCCATCATCCCAGGAGGGTGTTGTTTATATTCACTGCCACACACTTAAAATCCCTGTAGAAAGATAATCAGTGATCTGTGCACTACAGTCTTAAAGAATTAATGAGAACAAGTAAAATGAAAAGAGAAGAAACATTTTTAAAAAAAATACAAAATAAAAAAGCAGAAGAATAATAAAATATAACTTTCTATTTTGCCCCTATCTGTTGAAAACACGTACAAGTAGTCACTCACCTTTACTCAAATGAATGATAGGATCTACACAGAAATTAATTCTACATTGAAGACTAAAAATGCATAATTAAAGCCCTGGAGTAAAATAAACCTGTAAGTGTGTGACTGTAAGAAACTGAGGAAATAGGTCAAACTATCAACTATAAGGTTGTTAGGCTTCTGCAGTGGAACCACTGACATGATGGAAATTAAAAGATCCTATATTATCCAACGGGAATGAGTAGCTGAGTGATTTCATGCTGTACAGATATTGTATCTGCTAATACAAGTCCACTGACCTCACTGCTGAAATCGGGAGAGTTAGCGTATGTCCTTATCAGATGTTCATTAGTGAAATCGACGTAGCTATTTAAAATATTTTTGTCCCATAACTGCATGTTATGGAAGAGTGTGTTTAACAGGCCACACGAGCACGCCTCATCCCCTTCAGAGTGAAATTAGGCAGGTTTGCTTAACCTGGGGATAATACATTTAAAATCAACTGACTGCAGTGGAATGGGCGACATTTGCATGATCCTCTCTCATGATCCATCCTTCCAGCTGGCTGTGGTGTGGTGCCTCCCACAGAGTGGTAGTAACAAGCATGTATGACCCAATATGGTTGTGAGCAACTCCAGACATTTCTGTAGGAAATATTTCAGTGGAATTAATTTTGCTCGTGTCTAGTCTTAATTGATTGTTCATGTGAAATCTGTCTCGTATAATCCTTTTGGACCTTACAATGTAGTTAATCCCGGTTTAATAAAAATTCTCGTCAGGGAACAGATTTAAATGTTTTCCGCCTAAGTAAGATCACGTTTCTTTCTAAGCTTCCAGGCATTGTTTGCAAGTGCATTTATCAACCTATATAATTTTGGACCTGTCTGATCTTGGTGCTGCCGTCATAGACTTTCAAGATAGATTGTACTAGGCACAATGCTGTTTCAATTTTAGTGTAACTTTTTGCACAGCAGGTCTTCACCACTGTTGTCAGTTTTCATTAAATTTATGGGGCTGGTTGGAGAGTGGGTTCTCTATCTCGCACAAATGCTTTATACACTGATTTTGAAAAATTATCTTTACCTATGGAACAAATAAAAACCATCAAGAGTTAGTGTTTCCAAAAAAGTCTTATAATTTGTAGTAGAAAATAGCAAGGTCTGTAAAGAATTGAGCAGCTTGCAGAATTCTCTTGCAGCATATGACTCTGTATCAATAAATATTTTTCTGCATTTATATCTGCCACTTATCTTATTTAACTCTATTTCTTTTAGAGACATTTTGTGACATCTTCTCTGACATTTTTAGACAGTTCCTGTCTCCATTTATTTTATAATAGCTCTCCACAGGATAAAATGCATTTCTAGTTTTCACACAACTCCATCATTCTCATTTTACTACAACCCTTTTTTTAGTTGCCTAATTAATGTTTTGAAGATAATTTATTCTTTAATGATTTTCCATTCAGAACTGTAAGGGTACTTAAGTACTGAAAAAAGTGCAGTACAAACAGACAATCCCATCTCCAAAACCACAAGCCAATATCTTCTAGTGATATAACTTTATAGAGGTCTTTTGAATGAAAATGTTTCCACTACAAGAGATATTTTAGTCCAGGAAGTAATTCAGTAAAGGGAAAGTCTGGCTCCATTCAAATTAAATCACTTCTATGATGGGATTGGATGTAAAGTATTTTTTCAAAGTATTCAGTATTTAAACAGAATGATAGGACACCAGAAGATTTATTTGTAAAGTGGCTGTTTTCTATTCAACTGTATTTTCATTGCAGGCTGATCATTTGGGAAATTTGTGCTATATGATCCAATACAACATTATATCATATATCATCATATCTGGAAACAGCACTAGCAGTGAGCCCTATTTGATGTTTCGTCATATACAGGTGGTGAAATGACTGACATCCTGCATATATTTTTAGATCAGATTTTCACTTTATAAGCCTGTGGGCAAACAGACTTAGTCATGTCACACTACGTGAGCCTAAGAGTGTATGAATGGAACAAATTTGGTAAGAGGTTGTGTATGCAAACTTGTTACTTAAACCAGGATTTTAATCTGTAAGTCTAATACACTGCAATTTGACAGTGACTTGTTCTTCTCAGAGGCATTTCATATCATTTGTATTGAACTAGTGTTGGTTTTCCTTTTAATAATCCACACTTCTTGTCATACCATTGATATTGATCTGTCTGTCTCCATACCTTTAGATGGAGTGGGCCTTCCACCATGTCACTACAGTCACAGAAAAGCCCTCTGGAAATGTCTGAGAGGCTCAATTTCTCTTCTACCTAATTTCTGTTTGTTTGAAAACATAGGAGAGCATAGCTCATTTTTCACCTGGAAATTTATGAAAAAGACCAAACATACATTTTTCTAAATTAATTTTTTTGACTGGCAAAGGGGAATCTGAGATTCAGTGATACTGAAGTTCATCCCATAGGAATAAACTAGGTCACTCTCCAACATATCCTTGTCCTCCTTATGTAGAGGTTGTCTATAATCCTAATAGTAGTTGTTACCTAGCATCAAAACATGAGGGGGAAAAAAGGAAAATAAGAAAACAGGAAAGAAAATAAAGGCTTCGTTCTGTTTTATTTAGCCTCCTGCATGTAGTTCTAGCATTTACATAAGTCTTTTTGCACTTTTTAAGGCATTTACCTCAGAGAATTAGAAACAGAATATCTCTATTTTTGTTATTACTTGATTTACTTTATAGCAAACATTCCAGTTGCTTTCTCTCTGTGCTCAGAAACAGCTCAGAGAACAGAAATGTTCTCTGTGAAATCTGATAATGCCAATTTAATCAAGATCTCATTAAAACAAACAAATTCAAGAGTTTGATCATCACTTAAAAGTGATGCTTTCCTTTAAAAACAGTGACAATGGGTTTCTGAGTTCAGTCTTCTGCTTATTCCTTTATCTATATAAGTATTCCTACTTTCTTAACTTCAATCTTACAATATATCTGATTGGTTTTTCCCGTCTTTTTACGTCATGCAGGTCTTTCAAATGTGTCTAAGATAAGAATCTTTCTTTTTTAGCTTGTCTGAAGACAAGTTGACAAATAACATAAGCATTCCAGAGCATTCTTTATGTCCTCTGTGTAGTTGGTAATAATAAAGTGATATCTCTGCCTCAGAGGACCTGGTAGCTCTTCTGCTCTGGTCTTCTAACTAACTGTCCATCATTGATTTAGGCTTCCCTTTAACAAGAACCACTCTTCAGTGGGGCTGAGTGAAGCATGACCTCGTCAGACCAGCCCCATGCATTTATTATATAAAATGCCTAGAATGCCAAGAACCCCAGATGCATTTCAATACCAAGTACAGCAGTTTTTTCAGTATGTATTTATTAGCTTAAATTAATACAATACATCATACATGCTTTTACTGTTGAGATAGAAAGCCAGAACCTAAATATTCACATATAGTTGGTTCACTTTTTGAGTTGTGGCTTTAAATAGGAACTCAATGTTCTATGTGAAATAAATATGCAACACATTATTTGCAAAATCTGTTAGGAGTACAAAATGTTAGCTCTGTTACATCTTGTTCAGCTAAGCAGACATGACTTATTTTCAAAACTGTTAATAATTATTAAAAACTTCTTGGAATAATAAATACAGTACTTATATTACTTCTTAACTGTACACTCAAAACAGCAGAGTCCAGCAGCACCATATAAAGAGAGATATCAAAGAATAGGTAGTAGAGAAACACAGAGTTGTAAAAGGGTGGGTGCAATAGCATTACCTGGTCTTTCTGGTAACTTGTTTTAGAAGAAACGGCACAGGATAAACATCAATTATAATACTATCATGAAGTGTTTTATGCTTTGAGCCTCTGAACACAGAGCACCTGTCTGGCAGCCAGGAAAACTCTGATTCACAAGGAGATGACTGAGTCCTAGTGGCTAGAATCAAAGCATCTTGTTCCAGGGTCACCTATAACTTCTCTTTCCACATAAATACGTTGTCTATCTTCATCCTTAATTTTTAGTAACTCAGCTTTTAGCTTTTCCTCCACCTACTCTGTACTCTAAAGTGTCTTGCAGAATTCTCCTTGCTGCCCTTAACATCAGAAAAGCCTCTAATTTAACGAACCACCTGCCTTCACTTGCCCAGACTCATTATGATAGGGCCAATTTACTTTTCCTCAGTGTGACTTCTTGAAGCATCTCAGCTGCATGAGTTTGTGGCCACTCTTATTTGCTGTTATGCTCTCCAAGAGGATGAAGCTAGACTTCATCTAACAATGCAGGGAAATGGTATGTATGTAATTTTACATAGAGATGTTAGAGGCTGGGCTTTAGTTTCACGTGTTACCACACACTGAAGACCCAAATGCAGAGAACAGTAAGATAAATATTTTTTTTTTCCCACAACATAGCAAGAAGAAGGTAGATGAACTCAGAAATCAGAAAAAGAAGAAAATATATCCCCCAAGGTCCAGGACACAGGTAATGTCTCTACTGGACTTCTGAGCCTCTATACAAGGCAAAATAAGGAAGCTAATCCCTTGAAAAATAGAAATGGGAAATAGCTTCATTATGAGAGCAAATTTCTCTAAAGCATTTTCAAAGCTATTATAAAGCAAAGGCTGTTACTGTCTGTTCCTAAAGCGATGCCAATGTAAATAGCATGAAAATAACTCATGTTTGAAAAGCAAGGTGCTTCACAATGAAGGCTGTTATTTCACTTTTAATTTGTCCCTTGGGACCTCTTTGTAACAAGTGTCTTAGACCCATTTGCATTATGTTCCACAGAGAGATGACTGTCATCTAATCGCTTTGCTTGGGTCACTTGGCGCTGTCTCCTTATTTCAGTAATAGCTTTGTTTGCAACTCCTCTTATGGTAACTTATGGTTTTAGATTAATTCTTTACTATTCTAGCATGAATTACACTTGGGTGTTTGTGAATTAGCTTAGTGTGACTTTGTGACTGGGCAGAATCTCAGTATCTCATTGTAATGGAATACTCTCTGCTTTCTAGGAAAAATGCAAAAAAAGGGACTCCCATTACAAATTATTTGCAAATAGTATGTGGTTGTCAGATGCTTCTGCTCCAGTGAGAAGTGCATTTGTAGAAGAGGGTAAATTGACTGCAGTGACAGTGTGGTTGAAAGAATTCAAGTTAACCATTTAGAAAACCAGAGTGGTTTGCAGTGATTTCCTTTCCCAAGGACACAACTGGCACATTCTCTTACAACATGTGTAAGGGAACTCTGGACTGCGTGCTTTCAGTAGACATAATTCTTGTGGTTATAGAATCACAGCATCACAGAAGCATTTATGTTGGAAAATACCTCAGATTATTGAGTCCAACCAGCAGGTCAACTAGACTGTAACACTAAGTGCCACACAGTCATTTCTTGAACATTTCTCAAACATTTCCAGGGATGGTGCCTGGCTCATTGCCCTTCTCTGGACTTGCTCCAGCACCTCAATGTCTTTCTTTGAGTGAGGGGCCCAAAACTGAACACAGGATTTGAAGTAGGGCCTCACCAATGTTGAGGACAGAGGAACGATCACTGCCCTGGTTCTGCTGGCCACACTGTTGCTGATACAGGCCAAGATGCCACTGGCCTTCTCGGCCACCTGGACACACTGCTGGATAGTGTTCAACCTCTGTCAATGAGCACCCCCAGGTCCTTTTCTGCTGGGCAGCTTTCCAGTCATTCTGTCCCCACCCTACTATCCAGCAGACCAACACTCCTACACAGCTTAGTGTCACGTACAAATGTACTGAGGGTGCACACGAACCCCTCATCCAGATCATCAATAAGATATTAAACACATCCAGATCATCAATAAGATATTAAACAGGGCTGCCCCCCAGTACTCTGGGGAGTACTGTGTTCCACTGGTGACCAGCTGCCAGCTGGATGTAACTCCATTCACCACCACTCTCGGGGCTCAGCCATCCCGCCAGTTTTTAACCTAGCAAAGAGTGCACCTATCCAAGCTGTGGGCTGCCAGCTTCTCCAGGAGAGTGCCATGGGAGTCAGTATCAAAGACTTTGCTAAAGTCCAGGTAGATAACATCCTATGATATTAGTTTCTGTGAGCTGAACTCTGCTGAAAGTTTCTCCTTTGTTCCATTTGCCTGGACTGCTGTTGATACGAAATCGTTTGTTTCTTTCTTTCTTGGTAAGGATTGGTTAGCTGTCCCATAGCACGCTCCAATGAATAGACAACAAGGCTTTGCAATGGAAGGACTGAGTGCTTTCCTGCTTTACCCACCACAGAAGTGAAGGACTTGTTAAGTTCAACCCATCTGCACGATTACCATTCTAGAAATTGCAAAGAGATTTCTGATTTCTTGCTTGTTCTTCCCATCATGAGAGCTAATATGGCTGCAAAAGTGGAGTGGACTGATCTGGAATCATGCATAGCTGGAAACTACACCACTGAGACAGAGACAATTCTAAGACTCAGTGACTCCCAGCTTTTGGCTGCATACATTCTCAAATGGGAGCTTTTGTCTGACAGAGACAAGATAGTGACAAGAAGGTAACCAAAGGAGTTGTTCCCATTTCTAAGGGACCATTTCCTAGACTGCGTTGAATTTTTGCTGGATCATTTCCCCACAGTCTAAGAAAGAATGCAGTTATACTCATTATTCTGAATTTTTTTCAGAATAATGAAAAAATTTTTTTCAGTTTCTTCTGCGTGACCACAATGTCTTCCTTGAAAGAAGGATGGCTCCTTTTTCAAGAGGTGTCATCTCACAGTTGCGGCAAGGAAGAGTGTATACGGTAAAACAGTTCATTCCTGAAAATCATGGGTATTTATAACTGAAATACACTCAGTTTTCAAAGTCTTCTTTAATTCTAGGTTTAAACTGACCTACATTCCACATCAATTTGGCATACCCTTTATATTTTAAAAAGTATGCACATCAGTTTTAATTATGTAAGTTAATGACATTTAGAAGAATCACCTGTATGTTACAGTTTCTTTTATCAACAGCTTTTTCTGCTCTTCATTCAGAATATTTATTATGCCATGTTTGAGCCTTGGAAAGTGAAACCACCTTCTCCAACCTTGGACTACACAAATCCAGTTTTATTCGAGGAATAAAGACTTCTGCGCTGTGAATGCTGATTAACTGGTGGGTATGAGAATCATTAGTTTGAAAGGTATGTGTTTTCTTACAGTGGCAGAGAGCTGCAGCTACTTGACTATAGTCTTAGCAAAACATAAGTATATGACTATATTAATTATAACTTGCTATATGTTGAACACAATAGCAATGTATTTCAAATCAAGAACTTGGCAGGTAAGTGAAGAAGGCAGTAGTATTTGGAAGAGAATTTTAACCTTTTAAGCTGGGATGTGGGAGGGACATAAGACAAATTTTATGACTTCTTAAATTTTTATTTCTTTATAAGGAATAGCATGATGCAAGGCTGTTTGTTTTCTATCTTGAAGATGCAGAAATTAGTATGCTGGCCGAACTATTCATGCAAATAATGAAAAGTTGAACGGAATATGCTTTAAGCATCTTTGTTATGAACGTGTAATTGTATGGGAATCAGAGGATGCAAAGCTGGGTGTGACGGTAAAAACAGTGTAAGTGAATTCTTCTGAAAGGCCTGGACCCTCCTCAAGACGCATTGATAAGGGAAAATTTCTGCCTCCAATAAGAGGAAATCGAAAATCAGTTTTACTCTGTGAGGTACTGCTTGTCCTATAGGGGTTATTTTTACCTTCTAAAATAAAAATTGATCAGACCTGTGTATTTCAAAGTTATCCTTCCTAGTCATGAAAAAATGAAGAGATAAATGGTAAAACTGCATATTTTTTTCAGTGCAATTACTCATATTTCTTTATGTGTAATTATAGCAAGATTGTGAATGTTGCATGCTGCTGCTGCCCATTAGATGTATTGGTCTGAGCAGGCAGTAGAATGAAATGTCAACACAGTCTATGCTATTTCATTTGAAGAATTACTGAATACTCTCATTCTGACTGAAACAAAACAGGAACATTCCTTGTGCTAGAGGAAGAGCTTTTGTAATAAATTCCAGTCCTTTCAAAGCCTTACAGAGTTGCCCTTCGCTGCCTCCCAAGACATTAGTATTTCTTCTTAATTTCTTTCCCAGTTCTCACTATAACTGATTGAATTAAGAGTCACTTCAGTAAATCAAAGTATTTGGACTGTGTTAGTTCTGAATGTTGACAGCATTTTCATGCGTGTCACATTTAATAGTACTCTGGCTTATAATGTGAAATATTTAGTATTTTCAAATGTTTCTGAGACATGTGGCTAGAAGTGTTCATATATATCTAGTCAGACAATAAATCAGATGCTAAAGTATGTTGCTTTCTGCTAACTAGAAAATTGCATGTAAGTATCTATCCCCATATAATAGAAAATAAACTTCTGTACCTAACCCATTGTTTGCTTTTACATCAAATGGATAAATATAAAAGTGTTATTGTTCAATATCTATTGCATTTCTCAGTGGCTTTTAATGTATGTGTTTTACACTAAATTATTTTTATCTATTTGGCTTGTTTATTTCTAAAGAATACTACAGACTTCAGGTCTTGGTAAACTACAGTTCATGTTAAAAACTCTCTGGTTCCCATTTTCCAGCTGTTTCAAAGTGTCCATTTTACATGCCTATCAGCATTGTTTGTTTTTCCATTTTTCTTTCCAGCAATTCTTTCAAACTCTTGTTCCTGTGCTTGAAATACAAGTAATCAGAGAAAGAGTGGCCAATTCTGGCCTTTTCAAAGGATCTAAAGCTGAGACGTTCTTTGTTGTTTGCAAGCTCTCCCTCTCTTTGGCTCTCCTCTTTGTCCGAATTTCCTATTCTCTTCCTCAGTCCTCCCTCACTTAGCACTTCTTCCTTCTCATTGCAGGAGGACTCTCTGAAGTCCTTCATCATGGACTCGGGTTTGCCAGAGAGATCTTGAGCCACACATAGCTTGTTGTTATCATGATGATACATGACAGGGCTGTACCGCTCTGCCTCGTAGCAGTTGTCTTCCTCTTCTTCCTGGCATGAGCTTCCCTTGGCACTCTCGCCATCAGAATGAAATGAGATTCCCTTCCCTTGGCTTTTCTGGGAAAGATCAAAGGGCTCTTCCTGTTCCAAACTTTTCAAGACTTTTGTCTGCGACAGAGCAATTCTTCCTCTTCCAAAACCTTGCAGCAGTTTGAGGGGAGAAGAGGAAAAATTTATATATCGGAAATTTTAGTACTTGATACATGGCTAAAAAACAGATTCTGAGGTGGCCTTCTAGTTCATGCTTTACCTTTGTCTTTCATGCCTTAAGCCCCTAATGTTTTTTATTTTTCTAATATTTGTAAGACTTGTACGTTTTATAAGTAGTGGAAGTAGATTTTAAAAGCATCAACCTCCCCCCCCTTCTTTGTCCCTTGTTCCTTTCCCTTTCTCTAGCACCCTTGTTTATACATTCCTTAACCCTCTTACCCCATTCTATGCCCCCTATATCAATCCTGCTCCTGAATACAGCAGAGATGTTTAGTCTTTTGTCAAGGCAAGGCCTAGATTGTTGGCAAAACAGCATATCAGGGCCTAAACCACAGAATACGGTCAAGAATTAGGTAACTATGTACCCTTTGTGCTCTGATGAAGATGAAGATGGGATGAATAAAGGGTCCCAAAACCCCCAGACTCATTTCTCAGGGGGTGGAACCTGGGGTGGACCAGAGTAAAGGCCACAGGGTGGACACATCTGGGATTGGATGGATGGTATTATAAAATGTAACATCTCAGGCACGGCCGGCGCCTGAGATGTAACATCTACTGCCTTGGCAAAATAAACCCTTTCTTATCTCACCCCTAATTAATTGCTCTGGAGATTTTTTCAGCATCAAAATACCACGGCAACATCTTCCATCCAGCTACCTCCAAGTACTTCACTATTTGCATCTCATGGCATCTCCTTTGAGATGCTGCAAAAAGGAGTGCTATTCTATACACTTCACAGACAGGTCAGGACACGCAAAACATTGTGTTATACATGCCAGACTCTTCATGAGGCAGCTAGGAAAAAAAGTGAAATGGTCTGTCCTTTTATAAGCTATTTTTTACCAGTGAACCTACCCACTTCCTCCTTCCTATTCTTTTTTAAATGAAAACTTTGATCTAAAGCATCACAGTCCATAATCCAAGTTCAGGTTTTATATATTATTTTTCCATAGGAGTGGAAGATACTGAAATTGTGTTAATGTAGTTGTTCTCTGGACACTCCAATTCAAAGTTAATACTTTAAGAATGAAAAGACAATAAAGTCTCAGCAGTCTATGACCTCCACTCTCCTAAATTTTTCCTTTCATCCACTGAGAAACCAATCAACTGAAAAGCTCTATGCACTATATAGCGCTTCAGCTTGAGGAAATCATTATAAACAAATAATGATTTTGAGCAGTATAGTGTAAATCTGCATGTACTCTTGGATCTGATTTGCCTTAATATTTGTCAGAGTGTCTTTCCTCTTACTGGAAATATAGATGTTACCCAGGAGGCAACTGTGTACTCTAATATGCTGCAAGCACCAGGAGGCACTGAAGAAGATCGGGATACTGTAGGCATAGACCATTTTCATTAAAGACTAGTGACAGCACTGGGGCGAGGATTTCACCCCATAGTAAATATATACAAAAGTCAGTACTTTACTTGCTTTTGTTTGCTTTGGTGTTTTTTTTTTCCCCTCAGTAATTGAATCCAGTTTCTGAAGAATCTATGCAATCTCACAAGATAACAGATGCTACTTTGCAACAGACTGTATTGGTTAAAATGGTTCATAAGCAAGTGGCAGGCCTTACAAATTATCTTGTGTCTGATAAGCCTCAAGGGATGCAGAATCCCTGTACAATGAAAAGCTCTTAGCAATCTCCAATTCCAAGTAATTGTCTAACTAGCATGGTGCTGGAGGAGGTTTACAGAAAAAACACACTTATTTCATTACCCATTAAGATGTTTGTACATTTTATATTGAATGTCATTAGAGTAATGTAGTGTAATTAGAGTGTTCTACATATGTACTGGACTGCCTTAACGCTTGAATTTGAGGAACACTAATAAATCTTCTCCATTAAAGAATTATTTATGCACAAAATCTTAAAAAACATATCTTGGAAAATCAAACTCTCAAAACAATCTTCCCTAATTCCTCCACTTCTTTAGTTAGCATTGACATGTGTGCGTACATAAGGATAACTTTTGGAATGGTACATGGCAGATGGCAGACAGGAAATGCTTTGCAGGATACCCTGGGTAGTCAAAAATCCTTGTACTTTGAAATGGGGCAGTAGTATCTCCTGTTTATGTACTCCTTTGTAAATTGGGTCTTGAGCCTATGGCCTTCACCTGACATCAGCTATGCCAATACAGTACAGAATAACCAAGGCTCTTGGATGTAGAGACACTCAGCCTTCCATCCACATTCCAGACTGGAATCCAATATGCAGTGAGCAAGACCCATAAATGTTCTAGATTTTCTGCTTCTGTCAATTTAGGATTAATTTATGATTTATTGGGAATCTCTGATCTGTAACGTTGTAGTAATATAGTTAATAGCAACTTCTCAGGCTTATGGGATTCTATCACTGGCAGTAGCATAGGATCCATGGTACAAGTTCGTGGATCTGTAGTACAAAGCCCATTTGGGTTCACTGATATGCATCTTCAGATATCACAGAAAACAACCTTTCTGAAAAATATTACCTTGCGAATGAAATCCTCTTTCCATGACCCCGTGTTTGACTTTCATGTGTCTGGTTAGGTTCCCCTTCAAGGTGAATTTGCTGGGACAGTAGAGGCACTTGAAAGGCTTACTATCGGAATGCAAGTGCATGTGTCCCATTAAATTGTGCATTCTGTTAAATTCCTTTCCACACAGCTGTAAAAACAGTAAAAATGAGAATTATTAGTTTGAATCAGTATTTACTAGGAGAACATTTTAAAAGTAAGTAAGACCTACACTTTTCTACTTTAGCCTTGGCAGCTTTTGGCTGCAATGTGTTTTTCAAAGTTCCAGGCAATAATCCTACAGACAAGAATATGTGTTTGAGTATCTAGAGCCCTCTGCACTGCTGGCTTTTTTTTTAATTTGGTGACCAAGACACATAGTCAAGGATTCCCCAAAAGCAGGCAATGTTGTTGTAAGGAGGGGAGAGACTTAAGTGAGCAATCTGGTAGGCTCTTAACTTGAATGACATTCAAAGTATAACTTTCTGCCCTGGCGAAGCATTTAATTTGTAGTTTATAAATCTAGCCTTTAATCAAGAACAATGTCAGGCAGAGATGGAGATAAAAAATAAAACCAATTAAGGGTTTCTGTGACACAGTCAAACAGAATATTACTTCTCCTTAAGTGGAAATTAAACAGCTGCATATTTTGCTTAAAGCTAGAAAAAGCAATTCCTTATTTTAGTTTGTTTCTTGCTCACCCTTTTTTCTCTGATCCCTTTATCATTTTTTTATCAAATTCTGTGTTTTGATGTCTCTGGTGAGTAAGCTGGAATGTAAACAGTCATGAGGTTGCAAGAATGACTCAGCTTTCCCTGAAGCATGTTCCTGCCAGCTCAAGCCATTGATCCTGCAATTTTTCCTTTGATGGAACAATAAGGGTCGGGTTTTTTCATTGTTGTTGTTTATCTAGATGAGTCCTTTTGTAGTCTGGACTCTTATAAAACAAATGTATTCTCAAGACATGAGAGTTTGACATCACTATTACAAGTATCTAGTCTTACTTGCCTTCTGGTCTTTCCTTATCAGGATTTATAGTTTTATTCATGTTCAAGTGGCTATTTCCATCCTCTGCAAACTTCTGTATGTGCTTTCTACTTCAGCTCCTTTTTTTTTTTTTTGTCTGGTTCTACCATCAGATTTTAATTTTTTAAAATGATCTTTATTTCTATATGAGCTAGAATCACCATTACTGAGTAACTGAAATTTCCATCTAGCAGGGTAATCATCTGGCAGAAAATTACTAAAAAGAAATTACTAAGATTCCGCCACATTTTTTGTATAATGGGAATTCTGATTTTATTTGTTTTGATATTGTAGAAGATCTGATATGCTACTTGTAGATTCATATTCGGAAAGTCATCACCTGGAACACTTGGATGAAATGTAGATAGTGGAATTATCATTGGTGAAACAGTACTATGTGTTTTGCATTTTACACTGTCTCTTGAGGGAAAATTGAATCAGTTCATTTATACCAAAACTTTGCAGGTGTACTGTTTCACAATTAAAATTAGATCTGAACCAGTGCTGCAAAAACAAAGACTCTGGAAATATTCACTTGTTTTTAAAACAAATATTTGCTTCAGCTGCATATGTTTTCTTCCATGATTTTCTCTCTGCAATTTTGCTAAAATGAACATTCTAGCAAATAAATTTATCAGCAAGACAGTAGGAGGGGGAAAAAAAGCCACTGGAAATGAATTATTAATTTTTAAAATAAGGATATCTGGTCCCAAGGGTCATCCATCCATTTAGGAAAGACCATTATCTCTTCTTTGCATTCAAACAAAGACAATATGCAGGATTGATTATATTCAGAGAAATGAATGCACCAAAAAAATACTCTGAAAGTGCTGAGGGAAAACAAAGAGGAAAAGTACTGATGAGCCCAGAAAATTCACAAGGAATAACAGCAGCTGATTGTATCCTGACAGCTGCTGGAACAACCTATAATATGTCAATATTACTCTTGCTACAAGAATGCCAGTAATAATAGCTTTCTAATACCTCTTACATGAAGGCTTCTGGTTATCTGCTTATGTTGTGGCTGACCTATATTGTCACCAGATCTTGCTTTCCTATAGCTAGGTCTTTTTTTCTCTATCTAAACTGGTGGCCAAGGAAAACCAAGTTGAATAGGCGAGTGGCTAGAATACTTCATGCAAATCCATATCTTTATAGGTTCTTGAGTATTAAAACTGATCTAGTAAGAGCATTTATTTTCTTCTGTGAAGTTAATATTTATTTCTCTTTCTTCATAAAGAAAAGAAAAGGGACTTCATAAAGGATAGTTCTTTACAGTATAAAAGTTCTTTGTCTCTGAATAAAGGTGACAGATTTTTCCATTTCCCAAAGTCAGGTGTAGCTTAGGGTTGTGTAATGTGTTCTTACCATGAAATCTTCTCTGGATACATGAGGAAATGGCACTAGAAGGGAGAGGTGTGGCAGGAAAATTAAAGAATTGCAGATATTAAAATTGTGTTTCAGAATGATGTTTCTGTGTGTCGTGGTCTTTGTTTAACTGCTCCTTTTCAAAAGGCGCAAGACACCTTTTGGATGAATGATCCAGAGGGTAAAGGAAGCAGGTTTTTGGTTCACATGCTGGAAGACTGCAACTCAAAGCTGGTTGGGGTACACAGCTAATGCTTAATGAACAGGCTGAGTCTGCATATCAAACTAGAAGGTTGTACAAGATTTTCTTTCTCTGCGGCATGACAGGAGATGATGCAGTTTTATGCAAGAGAACTTGGGATGTCAGGAACTTGTGGATTTTTTGTTGGGCTGTCTACTCTAGATAAGATAAAATTATAGCCTTGAAGAAACAGACCTCAGCTGCGAGTCTGCTGAACACACTGTTGCACTCACTGGTGAAATGGACTTCAGTACAGTTTGCTAGAAGAATCCTGCATTAGTTCAATGGTAGATTTTGTCTTCCTAAGATACCACATGAAGTCTCACACTTCTAGATTTGTCAGCCAGTTTTGTTTCTTCTCAAAGTACTTCTCTCTCACATTTTGTTTGGTTTTGAACTCCTGATTAAAACACATGATTTTAGATGGGAAAAAAGTAGAGTTCAAAACGTCCACTGCGAAGTGTATTTGGCTGGGCTGGAAAAAAATCCATTGCATTCTTTATTGGAGGCCTGAAGCACTGATTACTCTAGCACTAAAAACAACAGTAAATTTCATGGAACCTTCCTCTACAAGTCAGAATTAGCGCTGTTGCAACAGTTGGTGTAACACCTTCATAACTCTTCAGTCTTTTTTTTTCTTTAACAGAAATAAACACGGCAACATGGGCTCAGGACTTTAAATGTTACAGAGAAGTTCACTCTTCAAAGAGAAATCAAACACAGATGAAGGCTGCAGCTGGATGAGGAAACAGAAGGGACAACTATTTGCTGCTCCCTCACTTCTGATAGTCTGTGCTTAGCTGTGATTAGACTCATAGGAAAGCTCATGTTTTCTTTTGCTGTGAGAAAAAGGTAAAGAAAACCATTGCATGTGGTGAAATAGAAAGGCTACTGCTGTGCTCTCTTTCCTTTGCATTCTTCTTCTTTTTTTTTTTTTTCTTCATAAGAAGGGTGTTCCTTTCCTCAAAGAGAGAGGGAGAGGGAGAATGACTGTAAACTGTCCAAAAGGACCGTGAGAAAACAGGAAGCTTTGAAAAGTACAAGAGAAAGCAAGATGAAATCTATTTGCAGGCGGTTCCCCGGGGACATGTGAGCCATTGTTAAGCAGGCTGTTCATACAGCTATATCCTTCCTTCTGCTGAGGAGGAGCTTGGTGCCAAAAGGCTGCTATCTGGTCACTGCCTTAACCCTCCAAGTACCAACCAGAAATATTTGCTTTCAAGAGCGTTTTGAGGGCTCTGTCAGAGAGGCAATGTCAGGATGTTCCTAATGACCAAGAGCAATTCCTGATTCTGCCTTTGCTTGTTGCTGCAATCTCCACTCTCAGGGGCACTGATGTTGATTCATACCCCTTCAGCCACAGGAGAAACAGGTTCACTTGTGCTTACTTGTTTCTTTCCTCCTAGGAACACTGGGTGGGGACAGAAAAGTGAAAAAATAAGAAAAACAGGTGTTCCTGCAGAGCTTTTGTTACTGGCTGGAAAACATTCTAGTGATACTCCATTTCCCAGTTCCAGTTATTGCCATCTCCAAGTTTTAATAGCCTACCATCGTCAAACACTAAGCTGAACACAACCTGCCAGCTAATCTGCACGTACCTAAAAAATTGTATGGGTCCACATACTGCACCCGCAGCAGCTGATCAAACAATTGAGTTTCTTTTCTGAAATTTGAGGAGTCAGAAGAGGACTTTGACCACATGGGAACAAAAAGGCAGGTTTCCAGATGTTGTCAAAGAACGAAGATCTCCAGCAGACTTGACATGAAACTCCCCAAGCTTTTCAGTAAAATTTTTTTTTATCAATATAGAATAATGTAAGCCCAAGTATACAAAATAGCATTTTAATAGGACATAAATTAGGAAAAAACAAAACACCAAAGTTAGAAACCTTTGCTGCTATTTTTTCAAAATAAAATGACAAAGCAAAATGAAGTCAGAAAGATTTTCTTTTAGATTTTCTTATTAAAATTAGTACCAAATATTTTGTATTCCTATGGCATTTTAAAGCTCTATGGTTTTTGAAGTGAAATCATTCCATTTAAAATTTTTCATACATCTCTGTTTCTTGATGAAATGTTCCTTTTAAGAAAATATTCAATTCTGTAAAGATGTAGGATGAAAGAGTTTTAGAAATTGCTTTCAAATCAGTCTTATATATAAATTGAGTAATACGTTCCACTCTGTATTTGTTATTTATTAGAGCAAATTAAATTGGGAATAAAATCTACAACCTTTGACTTCACAAGGTATGACTATAGTAAGGAACCATATAGGTAGAAAAAGGAACTTACATAGTGTCCAATACTGAGTAAGAATATAAACATGAATAATCCATAAAGAATATATTAGAGAGAAACAGGGTCAAGAAACTCTTAGATTTTTATGGGGAGGGAGGAGAAGAGAGGATGGAAAGGAAATGTCAGCCTCCAATGTACTGGAGAGAAGCAGCAAACTGGAGTTTGCAAAGGATCATAAAAAAACCAGATGGTGTCAGAGGTTGTTCTGCTAGCATATTGATGTCCTGCCCTGAATTTCAGTCTGGTAATTACATTTGGCCCATCCAAATCCCTTCTGTAGTTGTATTTTGCTGTGGGTTTTTTTGTCTCCTTTCTTGAAGTGTTGCATAGCCTCACTGTGTGAAGCTGTGGCTGCTGCTTTTCCTCTGCAGGGTGCATGACTTGATTTATGGTTTTAGTCAGTGTGTCAAGATATTAAGGACTAAGACTTCTGTTTGGATGGTTGTACAAAGCAAATGTCAAATATTGTCTTGTCCTCAAACCTCTGTGGCACTTAAATGCTCACAAAACAAATCAAAACCAAAACTACGTGAGGATGAAAGTTACTGGTATTGAAGAGGAAGGGACTAAACCACAGGTATTTAATTCTATTATTTTGTACTACATAAGAAGAACCTGGATAAATAAAGAAAACCAGAATGCTTTATGCTGATTTAAATGTAGTAGGTGTTAACAAGTCTTGTTTTTCTAATTCTTTGATATCACAAGATGATAATATCAGAGATTAACTGATGGATTAACGCCTCTGTCACCAAATGCACTTACCTTGCATTTAAAGGGTTTGACATCAGAGTGAACAATCATGTGGGCCTTGAGAGTCTGCTTTTGCACAAAGCTCTTGAAGCACAAATGACATTGGTAGGCTCTGATATTGGTGTGGATCAGTACATGTCGCTTCATGTTGGCCAGCAGAGTAAATTCCCGGCCACAAATTCCACATTTGTGCTCTTTTACACCCTGCAAGAAAAGAAAAATTCAGTAGATGGAAAGTTTTTTAGATAATTTAATCATCAGTACAGTGATTTATGAATTATTCATTCCATATTAGAAAAGTAGATAATAAATTATTTCACTTTTAACATTTGTTCAAGAGGTATCAATGTAATTTTTCCTGAGAAATTCTTACACGGTTCTGAGAAGCAGAGAAGTAAACCAAAATATAAGTTTAATGAAATAATGAAGTTGGTTTACAAATCAATGAGACAGTCAGTGTCAGTGCTTCCGTGTCTTACTCTGCTGCTTAAGTAAAGTATTGGTCAAATATGTATATTTATTGACCAAGAATAAAAGCTAGGCAGTTATAAGACTAAAGTGGTAGTTGCCTTTGATAATTGAGCATCATTGGATTATGAAAAAGTCATAACCCTGTTCTGCAGAAAGCTATAGAAAATAGTCTGAAGTAACTGAGAAGTAGTCAAGCAATGGTACCAAATAAGATTAAATATTTTACATTCATAGAAGAGGAAAAAACATATATATTCTTAGTGGCATTTGCAGTAACCCTAGTGAATGATCTCCTTTTATATGAGGTTTATAGGGCATTTTTATTATGCTTTACGCCATATACTCAATACAAAATGCATGAATCAGTCTTTTTACACCTGCGTGGTCTAAATGTCAGCTTCTCAAAAAGTGATTCAGATATTATGAAAATCAAAGAATTTGCCACCAAAAATCTTAATAGTTTGAGTATGACTTGCTGAAGGTATAGGAATTTACTAGTGAGGTGCTGAGAGCAATTATTCCTCCTGCAGGCTCTCTTCACAAAGACATGAAAGGACTGTCAGTGATTTTCACAGTTAATTTAAAAGCTAAAACTGTGAACATCAGCAACAGCTTTGAGTGTCTGCTTATCTGATGTGAGGCTTGGTTTGGTGAGCTAAGTATTGTAAACTGTGTTCACAGCAGAATCCACCTGCAGCTGTGGACAAAGAAGCAGAAGCTCTGTAAAGGCGCAGGGACATTTCATTTCCTGTGACTAAAGTCTTCAATTAGTGGGATTTTACATGGTAAATCCAAAGACCAGGGAATCTTCAAGAAAAGCAAAAACTATAGTTACTCAGCAGGAAAGAAAAAGCACATATGAAGTAGAGGTTGTTGGTTTTTAAAAGAAAATATGTCTATAAAACTGAAATGCTGTAGCTTTCTGTATTTTTAATGTTTTTCATATAAAAGCCAAAATTCAAGATTTAAAGGAAAAATATGCAAATCTGAAAGCAATTTTTTTTTAAATGAGGGGGTTTATCTTGTTTTAACAATATTTTTGTAAAGGTGGACAGTCAATTTCTGAGCTTCTTGAACAGAACAATTACACTTTCTCTGTTTCTGAAAGCAATCTTTCTGGAAGTGCTCCAAAGTTTGCTTCTACCCTAAACTGACTCTGTTGTCACTATTGTCAGCAGTGGTGTGACTGCTACTTGATATGAATTGGCTGCGATTATGGTCCTGCTTGCCCATTTCTATTAACTGGCATTCTGGATAACTTATGCATGAAGGGGAATTTTTCCTAGGATTTTTTGTTTTTAAATTGTCTCATTTTAATTGTTCTTCAAAATATGATGAGTAATAGTATACTTTCTTTTGCTGCAGTCTACTGCAAACCCACCTACTTCCTAATTAGGAGAACAAAACAGCAGAACTGGATTTCAGTAAAAAAAATTCTTTTAAAATTTTCAGGGCAGGGGGTGGTGGTGTTTATTATACAGCCCTGCAAAATTATGTTATGTTACAGAAGGTCATTCCGAAGACAGAAACCGGAGAGATGTGAATACAGTTTTGGAACGTAATACGGAGAGTTTAATTGAACTCCTGTTTATGATGAAGTCGGTTTGTGTGTACTTTCTTAAGTCTGACAGAGACACCTGGATTATAGTACCACCAGCAGTGCTGGGGGTTCTGCTCTGTGTAAGTATGGCAAAAGCTGGCAAAAGGCCATATGAGGCTGTATAGTCTCTTCTCTTTCCAAGGAGGTAGATACCTTAGCAGCCTGTAACCCTCCTGCTACCTTCAGATGCAAGATCAGAGAGCAACCCACGCTTACCTTGTGAGTGAGGGAGTGTTGTTTCAGGTGGTGGGGCTGCACAAACTCCATGCCACATTCAGTGCAGATGTATGGGCGGATGTCTTTGTGCTTCATCATGTGGTTTTGCAGCTGACTTGGGTACTGGAAGGTCTTATCACATTCAGTGCAATTGTACTGTATAGGACCACGATGGGTGGTCAGGTGTCTCTTCAGCTGGGCCAGAGTTGGAAAGTCCAGACCACACTCCACACAAATGTTCTCTCGGCCACTCTCATGCTTAGACTCATGTGCTTTCAGCTCACTAGGGTAGGCAAAACCTCTGCCACAGATCCTGCAGTTGTAAGGCTTGATGTCACTGTGTTGCATCATGTGTCTCTTAAGGTGACTGGTTTGAGTGAAAGCCTTGTGGCACACCTGGCACTTATGTGGCCGAGTGCCCTGGTGTGTCAACATATGCGTGTGCAAGTGGCTCAGCTGCTTGAAAAGCTTGCCACATCGGGTGCAAGCATGTGGCTTAATGCCACTGTGCCCCAAGATGTGGGTGACCAGATTGTATTTGGATGTATAGGACTTCTCACACATGGGACATTGCCAGCGTTTCTGTTCACCCCCCACATCAACATAGTAACTGTCATCTATCTGAAGGTTGACATCTACTCTTTCAACTTTCTGTTTGTTTTCACCACTTTCTCTTACTTCAGCCCTCCTGAAGGGTGGTTCTGGAGGTCTTTTCATTTGAAAGGGGTTCCTGAAATGAAAGTTTGGTGGTACAATGAAAGGAAACATTAAACCAGGGTGGACTTTAGGATAATAAGGGTAAGGAGCCTGCATGAATGTTGGGCTACTGGGCCATGCCATGTTGGGCTTCACTGGTTCTTGCTTAATGGGCTTGGCTCCAAAATGCTCCAGAGTTCTGTAGAATTGAAAACCAAAGTTGCAGAGGTCAATCATCTGGGAGCTGTACTTGGGCTGTGCTGGCTGTTGGAACACCAAGGGGAGACTGGAAGAGCCTATGTCATTGTGATCGTCAGGTCTGTCTGGTGGTGATGAGGAATCCTCAAGGGTGATGGAAGGTGGCATTTTTGTTGGCATGCTCTTGCGTTTCCGAGACCCTCCTTCCAAGGACCCCTGGAAAGATTCCATGTTTTCAAGAGGAGGAGGACCATAGCGGAAATGCGAAAGATGTGTTCTGAATTCTTCATCAAATGGAGTTGTTCTGTGTGGCTTTGTAACAGGGCTGAGTGGCTGCAGGCAGCGGGAGAAGGGAGAAGCTTGGGTATTGTCCACATTAAAATCCGTTTCTTCGTTCTTCATCATACTTGAATTTTTTCTGTGTGGCCCAAATTCCTTAAAATAAGCAAAAAACCAAAATCTCTTAATTTCTTCCCATTCTTTTGGATTTAACATTTTATTGACTATTTTATTGTTTTGAAGGTTGTTGGCTTTTTTTAATTAAATACAACCGGGAATGTCTTAGACCTGTATAAGACAAAGGCGTTTTGAAGAAGAATTAAGTTTCTTAGTGAAGAACAAAAAGGCTTTGGTCTTCCTGAAGGAGATTTGGTTGTTTAAATCAAGTTTGACTCACACAGCATCCTTACGACATAAATATTCTGTACTGTGACAGCTACTCTGCAGCTGCATCTATATGGCAGTGTTTCTGCTTAATTTAATTCGGACAGGCTGTTTGTGGGCAAAATTCTGTCCTTGGCTGTGCTTGCACAGTCTTGAGAAATTGGCGGTGCATCTAAAGGATATGGCAATACAAACAGCAATGTGGACATTTATTATGGTTGTGACATGAAAAGCCAAAGCCAAAAAATATTAAACTTCTTTGTATCATTAACATGTGCTACTGTGAGAGAAAACAATGGCCAAGTGATCTAAGGACACTGTGTACCATCAGATTTTGCGCCGTGTTTCCTGACTTCTCTCACTTTGTATTGTAATAAGAAGGCGGAGATTAATTTATTTTCTTTGTTTTAATCCCAGAGATATTTACCTGGCAGATTTGGGGGAGGAAAGACATTTGACAACTCTCCAAATTACATTCAGTTTAATAGGGATTTTTTTGTTTCTAAACAGGTGGGCAAAATCTCCACTGTAAAACCAAATATAGAATTAATATCAACAAACCCCCGAGATTCCACAGTAATTGACAACTAAGAATGCTCTGAGCTTTTCTAGTGATACAATGTGATGAGGCAGATTAATAATTTTCTTCTGGCAAAATTTTATATCCCACTGATTATACAGATGTCTTTTTCTGGATTTGGGATTCATCTAAAACATTGGTTATAAGTTTTGGTTCATCTTAAATAAGGCTGCTACCTTTTCCCTTGTCTTTCTAGAATCATAGAATCATGGAATCCTTTATGTCAGAAAAGACCTTTAAAATCGTCAGGTCCAACCGTTAAGTCAGCACTGCCAAGTCGACCTCTAAAACATGTCCCTAAGCACCAATGTCTACATCTTTTAAATACCTCCAGGGTTGGTGACTCAACCACTTCCTTGGGCAGCTGTAGAAAGTGATAAGATCTCCTCTGAGCCTCCTTCTCTTCAGGTTAGAAAAACCACAGACCCCTCAGGCATTCCTCCTCAGACTTGTGCTCCAGACCCACCACTGTTTTACTTCTCTGGACAAGCTCCAGCTCCAGGAGGTGCTTCTTTTAGTGAGTGGCCGAAACTGAAAACAGGATTTGAGGTGGGGCCTCACCAGTGCTGAGGACAGAGGAGCAATCACTGCCCTGGTCCTGCTGGCCACACTATTGCTAGTACAAGCCAGGGTGCCATTGGCCTTCTTGGCTACCTGGGCACACTGCTGGATCATGTTCAGCCACTGCTGACCAGTACCCCTAGATCCTTTTTTGCTGGGTGTCTTTGCAGCCACTCTGTCTCCAGCCTGTAGTGCTGCCTGGGGTTGTTGTGACCCAAGTGCAGTACCCAGCACTTGGTCTTTTTGAACCTCACCCTACTGGCCTCAGCCCAACAATCCAACCTGTTCAGATTGCTCTGCAGATCCTTCCTACTCTCCAGCAAATCAACACTCCCACAGAACTTAGCAAATGTACTGAGGGTGCACTGTAACCCCTCATTGAGATCATCAATATAGATACTAAACAGGGCTGGACAAAGCACTGAGCCCTGGTAAAAACCACTGGTGACCAGCTACCAGCTGGATGTAACTGCATCCAACACCATTCTCTGGGCCTGGACATCCTGGCTCTTTTTTAACCCAGGAAACAGTGCACCTGTCCAAGCCATGAGAAGCTAATTTCTCCAGGAGAATGCTATGGGAAATGGCATCAAAAGCTTTACTAAGTTCAGGAAGACAACATCCACAGCTTTTCCCTCATCCACCAGTTGGGTCATCCTGTCATAGAAGGAAATCATGCTGGTCATGCAGGACCTGCCTTTCCTAAACCCATGGGCCTGATCCCCTGGTTGCTCTGTATGTGTTGTGTGATGGCACTCAGGATGATCTGCTCCATAACTCTCCCTCCAGCCTTTCCTGTAGATGAAAGTCGTATTTACTGACCTCCAGTCAACTGGGACCTCCCCAAATAGACAGAAGTGCTAGTAAATGATGAAAAATGGCTCGGTGAGCATTTTCACCAGGTCCTTCGGGACCATGGGCAGATCCCATCCAGTCCCATAGACTTGTACAGGTCTAAGTGAGAACAACTGGTTTGACTATTAAAGACTGAAGCAAAGAAGGCACAAAATACCTCAGCTTTTTCTTCATCCTTTGTTGCTATGTTTCACTCCACATCCAATAAAGAATGAAGACTTTGTTCAGCCCACTTTTTGGTGTGAATGTATTTACAGAAACATTTTTAATTGTCTTTTGTGGCAGTAGCCAAAATAAGTTCTAGCTGGGCTTTGGCCCTTCCAATTTTCTCCCTGCATAACATCATGACATCCTTGTAGCCCTCCTGAGGGATACACTTATATGAATGTGTGTGTGTTTGTGTACATGTATCTAGCCAACCAGGCAGAGATTAGGCTGGAAAACTAGACATATTTTCCCTCTATCATCTGTGACATGTTGATGCTATTTATAACATCATTCTTGGAAATGCTGGGTGGAGAGTACGAAGGTGAATGGAGTACTATATACACTCCTATTTCTTTTTCAGGAAGCTCCATGCTTGATAAACCTTCTACTAAAGATAGATAAAAGCAGATCTCTGTAACCTAGTTAGGCCACGGGGAAGAGAAGGCATCTTAAAAAACTTCTTGCAAACACATTGTTTTTTTAGAAGGAATAGACTGTGGAATTATCATTGAGATAAAGTGTGAAGCTAAAGGTTCAATGACGAAACTCTAAGACAGAAAATTTAGACAAAAGGATCAAACAATACATGAAGAGGGGGTATTAATTGAAGCAAAAATTGAAGGATCTCTAAACTTACGATTCAAAAAATACATCCAATAGAGGAAAAAGATTAAAAAATTGTTACATCTTGGACAAGTATCTAATAATTGTACCACAACTTGACTTTCAGTTTCTAGCTCACTGACTGGAAATATCATACATATATGTACACAATATAGAATCATAGAATCATAAAATATCCTATTTGGAAGGGCCCCACAAGAATCGAGTCCTACTCCGGGCCCTGCACCCCAAGAATCACATGATATGCCTGAAAGTATTGTTCAAACACTTCTTGAACAGACTTAGTGCTGTGACCACTTCCCCGGAGAGCCTGTTCCAGTGCCCAAGCACCCTATAGGTGAAGAACCTTTTTCTGATATCCAACCTAAACCTCCCCTGACAAAACTTCATGCCAATCCCTCAAGTCCTGTTACTGGTCACCACAGAGAAGAGATCAGTGATTGCCCCTCTTCTTCCCCTCACTAGGAAGCTGTAGACTGCAATAAGGTCTCCCTTCAGTCTTCTCATCTTCAGGGTGAACTAATAAAATGACCTCAGCCACTCTTCATCAGGCTTCCCCCAAGGCCTGTCACCATCTTTATAGACCTCTTTTGGGCACTCTTTAATAGCTTTATATCCTTCTTGTATTGTGGCATCCAAAGCTGCACACCTATATTTGTGTGTATGCATACATAGCATGCATGTTCAATCAGAGAGGACTTTGATCGACTGTTCATTCTACTGTTTCCTTGTCACCCTAACTCCCCGATCAAAATAAGGAACAGTTAGATCTTGAAAATTTTTGGAGAAAGGCAAGGGAATCCCCTGAATACTGAAAAATTCTTCACTTCTTTCCACAAGAAAAACATACTTTAAAAATAATTTTTAACAAAGTTAAACTCACACAATTTGAACATAAAATATGCTTGTAGACCAAAATCTTTCCTTCTGGGGTCTGTCCCTCAAATATCTTTCAACTTGTGTATCTTATTTTTTCCCAGCGATATGGGTATAAAATTCTTCAAAAGGCATGTAGCAATTGAGAAACAGCTATGTTATTTACTGCTTTTGTTGGATTATTGAAATGCTGCCAAAAATATACAGAGATGACAGTGAGTTGTGTCTAATTGCTCTCTTGTCTGCCCATCACTACCTTCTTCCACAGCCAGTTTTGTGCGGTTTCATTCTTTCTGGAACACGCAGTTACAGCAGAGGCTGCAGAACTCCTTGAAATTACTAGAAAGAAATAATTTCCTTGTGATACTAACCTTTCAGTGCTTTCACTGAGCATAGGGGTTGATTTCACTGTCCACAGCTACATGCATCACAGGACTAAGCCTACAAAGGAAAGTGTTTAAATAGTCAGTGACCAGCACAATCAGAGGTGCTATATAATCCAACACAAGAGCACTCAGAAGGAAAGGGGAAGTCTATATATATGGATCACCCTACTGCTTTATTTTCCCCCTTGAATCTACCAGCACCTATAACATATAAATTAATGCTTTCTTCTTTCATTCTGGCAGCAAAACCTTGCTAATTTGAAGGGAGCTGTGATCTTAACCTTGTCCAGAACTGAATTCCGTGAAAACATGAGTCCTGATGAAACCATAGAAGAGATGACAGATGTGACCACCATGCAAGAAGTAGTTATGGAACAGAAAGACTAAGATTAGCTCAGTTGGTTAGAGCATAGTGCTAATAACAGCAAGGTTATGAGTTTGATCTCTGTATGGGCCATTCATTTCGGACTCAACGTTCCTTGTGCGTCTCTTTCAACTCAGAATATTCTGTGAAATAAGAGGAGAGTCCCTCTTCTTTAAACAATTTCAGTAGAGAACTTCAAAGTTTTTAATAGTTTCCCAATACGTTTTTTCTATCTAACTGTGCAGTAGCTGCTCTCATTTTAATACTCAACAACAAATTAGGAGGGAGGGGGTGAATTTATTTATTATTATTATTATTTTATATTTATTATTATTTAAATATTTTTATATTTGAATATCACTTACGGGTCTTCTATAAAGTGCTTGTTTCTTATACAAGCACTTTAAAGTATCCTTCTTTCTACAGAACGTCATATTTAAAATGTAGTGCTATGTAGTGTGATTCTAAACATTGGATGGTCATTAAAAATTCTAGCTTTCATCAATAATATTTCAGCTCCTAGGTTTTGAAAATTTGGTCTGGAAAACTCACTGAGACAGAGTTTTCCATGCTGTATTGTCACTGAAATATAACACTCCCTCCAAAAAACCTAGCCCTCCAGAGCTTACTAAAAAGTCAATTTCTTTAGAAGAGACAAGCATCCTCACAGTTTCTTTCTTTATGTAAAAAAATATATATTTGGAAATACACTAGTTTGAAAAATAGAACCAAAAATTCTCTCTTCCTGTCCTTTCAAAACAACAAAAGAAATGTGACAGTGAGTTCAGATAGTTGTTGAGGTATTTCCAAAATAAAATATCTATGCAGCAGCTAATAATGTTGTTAACTTCCATGAAGGAGGTAGAGAGTTTAATACAGAATATGAATCACCATTTACTTTCTCACGTTCGCTCACTTCTACAGACAAAGGATTTAAAAAAGTATGCAAATGCTGCTATTCACTCTACAAGGATTGTTACAGTGTCCAGCTAATATTCGGTAGTGGAGTCAACAGCAAATTTTCTTTAGATTTCAGTAGAACCAAGATTCTTCTTCCTGTATGAAAATGCCTTCTATCTGTAGATTAATAATGTGTCCAGCTACAACAATGTGAGGTTGTGAAGTTTCTCAAAGTTAAACACTGCCTATTACTGTTGTGATCTTGCTCTTGGGCAACACAGTTATAAAACCAGGGATGAGGCCAAGGTGAGCAAAAGTGGTATGTACCCTCTGACAAAAGGAAATGGTTTACTTTGTCACAACGTTTGCACTTATATTTGTTCTTTCAGAAGAAGGCGAAACACATGAAAATGGAGGAAGTCTAAAGGTGGCTTAATAGGCTAAAAAGCTTCTCTTAACTGGAAGAGAAGTTCCATGTTTAATTGAATGTGTAGGACTGCAGAACCATGACCTGTAACAGTGCATGTTTGCTCTCCTCTTGAGAACTGAAATATTGGCATCTATAAGGAAAAAAATGAAAAAATGTGTTGGATGTGGGAAGTATTAGCAACAAATTTAACACTATTACATTTCTTGAGCTAAAGTTGAGCAGTTCTTGAGCTTCAGTCTTATTGAACTACCATCTGGGTTTTTCTCAATCACTGTTTTTTGTCAATCGTTATTACGGTGATAATTATCATTATCTTAATAGGTTTAATGGGCTCTCAGTCTGTACTTCCAAATACATTATCTTTTTAAATGTATTCAGTCATACAACTGTTGAACTAAGCACCAAATTACTTACACAGTTTTCTCTCATTTACTATTGATGCAAAACTTGCATCTGTCTCAGGATCTGACAAAGAAACTATACTATGATGAATTCATTTCACTTCAACAGAGAGAAGGTGCTCTCTGCTCAATGACACGCTGCTTTGAGCTATTTGTCAGACTTTGAAAATGCCAAAAATACCTATATAAATGTGAATATATCCATTACTGGTAATCAAGTATTTTCATTTAGTACACATCTGATCCCTCCTTATAATTTTCCTTGCTATTTTCCTTCAGTGGCAGTATGAACCCTTCCAGACAGAAGGTAAAAGATTGTGTTCAAACCCATAACAGAACTTCTCTAAAATCAGTGTCAACCCTACTGTCCTATTCTTTAGAGAAGTCCGTGCAAGCTATATTTTCTATCCATGTTCTCCATGCGTAAATATCCATGTTTCAAGCACACAGTTTTGAAAAATTGACTCTATTAACGTATACTGAGTGTATGTTAATATGTTCTATCTGAGTATATAAACTGTGTGCATGTTATATGTAAACTAAATATATGTTAACATTCACAAATCAGCCTTGAAGATTTTATGCTACGGTACTTGAAGCTAACCTAAAATATTATTTACATTTTAAATTAAGAGAGTACTTTTTTTGCCTCAATCTGGAGATGGGAGAAGACAAAACTTTGGACTACCTTGTAAAATTAAATATGGTTTTAGAGAAAGTGTTCAGAATCAATAACTGTGGATACTGATTATAGAGAGACACAAATGTTGTGGAAGCCTTTAGAAAAACAGGCTTGAGCTGGAAATAACAGACATTGAGTTTAGTCAAATCTTTTTCTATACCACTTCTACAAACACTTGTTTTCTCACTTTCACATGCATGTAGACCTGGTGTCAAATGAAGTCCATGATTTAACCATTAGCATAATTGTCTACTGACATAAGGCTTCTTGCCCCATGTTTTTGTGAGACAAATGTCTGCTTAAATGGAGAACACTATCAAGATAAAAGTATTGTCACATATATCCCTCTTCCCTTTTTGGATTACCATCATTAATAGACTTAGAATTGAAAACAAGTAAACAATTGTTCACAAAAATGACTTGGAATGACTGAAAATGAGAAGTGGACTAGATCAGGTTTTTTCTTCCTACATTAGTATGATAGTACCAAGGAGCTCGCTGTCTTTTCACTTCTCCCTGGGAAATTACCTTCATCTGCTGGTATCAGACTTCAAGTTAAAACTTCTTCTTTCCACCAAGAAATGTGGGGGTTTTTTTCTCAGTAAATGCTTGGTAAAGTGATCATCTTTATAATTCTTCTTAGGGCATAATCAGAGCTCATTAAGGTTTGTGGGAAGACTTCCAGTGAAATCTGAAAGTAATTCTTAGAATTTTTTTTGTTATGGATTCTATTGTCCAATGAGATAGGAACCCATCTATCGCACAACCAAACGAAAAAAATATTTATATCCTCAGAAGTTAGCAGATGGTAACATTTGCAGACAAGCTTAATGTAAATCATACAATCACACAACAAAGAAACTTAATTGATTAAAAAAATCTGACAGCTTAACATGACACAGCAAACAGATGAAACAAGCAACAAACTTTCAAAGACACCTTATTTACTAAATAATTTTTTTCCTTCATTTACTATTTTGGCATCTTTCTTGCTTCATGGTTGAAGTTCTAACACTTTAGATATTCCTTTTGCTCCTAGGGCTTCCTATCCAGTGTAGCTGCATTAATATAGTCTGCAAGATGACATCAATACAAAGAAATACAGAAAACTGTGTAATAGAAATAGCCTCCCTGCATTGTCTTTGTTATTCCCAAATTTTAACTTGCACAATTTTTTTTTATTTTAGCTAGGAAATAGAGAAGTTTAGTAAGCACACTCATTTGGCTGCACTGCCTATAGAGTAGATTTTGAAGTCATCTTGGATATGCATGTAACTTGGTTTTGTACTTATTTCAGAGAAAAAAACACTACAAGCACTATCACAGGAGTATAGTTATCTTGGTATTCATTGTAATAGAGCAAATGCTCTAAAATAGTATTAAAATGAACGCACATTCACTTTCCCATAACTTACAGATCATTTTTGTTCTGGTAATTATTGAAAGCATTAAATTAGATTTTGATTAGACTAAATTAGATTAGATTAGACTTTGCTGAAAGTCTGGAGCTGTCCCACTACCCACGCTGCCAGAGATGGGGCACTGTTTGTGGTATCAGATATGTTTATAGAGTAGTTTATGGCATAATTTGCTTTTCAATCATTCATTAATTAGATTTTAAAAAAAAAGATTGCCAGATGCTATAGTGAGGTAGCTGCAGATGTATTTCTTCTCTCCACTATGAGTGCCATGTTGTCAGTTTCGCAAAATGGTTTGCTCTCTCTCTCGCTGCTTTTATGTGCACTCTGTCCTTACCTCAGGGAAACCTTTGCTGTTACTCTCACTATTCTTCTGTTGTCTAACAGGACAGAGGATGAAGGTCTCAGAGCAGAATGGCTGGGCTAACCACTGGGGGCATTACTCTAGGCCTAACTCTAGGGTCTTACTGGCAATACCTTTAGCAGTACTTTAGCCTCATGGACCTCTCTAGTCATTTCTGGGTATGTACAAAGTGGGTTTTGAGTACAGTTTAGGCTCACTGCTGTTTTGGTTCTTTATTTCTCTTCTTCTTATCCTCCTTTCTCTTTTATTTTTTTCTTTTTTTTCTTCCTCTTTATGAGTTTTCTTAGTTCTTCTCTTATATGTCCTTACCTCTTCACTTCTGTATTCCATTTGTTGTTCACTCTATTCTGTTTGCTAAAAGGGTCAGCAACACGTAGACAACCTGCATAATGACATGGATGTTAAGTCCACAGGCTCTGAAGTGCTAGCTGTTTATACACAGCCACACCAAACCACAGCTACACATGACAGGAGCCTACAAGGCAGAGCAAATCAT